TCCTTTCTCCATCATGCCAGGCAGCAGTGAGTTTCAAAAGACACATGAATCATATGCACTGCCTGCCCAGCCTGTATACATGTTAGTGAACTGTCCTTGGTGATCAACTATGGCTTGGAGGACCACCAAGGCAAATGTCTTCCTGTTGGTGAATGACCAGCTCCCCTGGGATGGGGATAGGACCAGGATGTGTGTTTGGTCCAATGCACCCATGAGGTTAGGGAACCCCATGACCTTGAAGCCTTCAACAACTTCCCTAAAGTTATGGAGGCAGATGAAGTTGTTCACCACAACATCTTGCAACAACTGGGATACATCATGTATCACCCCCTCAGCTGTTCAGGGAGCCATGTTGAACTGGTTACCAATGAAGCAGAGACTGGTAGGGGTGTCCAGTTTCATGATGTCAATGGCCACCCTCTTTTCTGATGCAGTGACACATGACAATGTCCTGGAGCTCAATGTGCAATGACAGCAGCGAAACTATGTGCACAAATTTCATGTGGAAGCTCTCCAGCCACTGTTGATCATCCCAATTTGATAGTATGATATACTCCCACCAGTCAGAGCTGCTTGCATGGGCCCAGACCTTGCAGCTGTTACTCTGTAGGTTGATCCACAGAACACTGTCAGCCTCAACATCCATGGCTTCCTCTCGGTTCTCCGACTCAAGCTCATGACCCATTGACTAGTATAGCAAGGCCTGAGAAGCTGCTACCCTACATTGGCACCTTTGTAGAAGGTCCATCATAGCCTGCATTGAATTCAGTAGCTGTATCTCTGCATTATCAAGTGCCTCCATTTTCCAGTTGGGTACCTCCAAGATGTCCAACAGCATCTGATTCTCCTTGCGGATTCCATCAGAAATTATTGAAGCCATGTTGTTATGCAGGACACAACAGTTATTGTTTCACTCAGAGTACCACCTGCATGCACTAAGGGGGCTGAATAGGTAAGGCTGTTGAATAGGATCATTAGCATTATAACAACCTTGCACTTTACATTTCAATTCCTACACACCTCAGGTTCCTGTAACCACCCCTCCTCTAAAAATATGGGGTTTTAGGTTTGGGGGGGATTACTCCTGAAATGCATCAAGCACTCAGCAGGA